TTTGTCGGAGAATTTAGGAAGCTGACGGTGCAAGGTTTCAGACTGAGACCTAAAGGTAAGTTTTATACCTATCTTTCTCCCATTGGCTCGTGTTCTTTACATGTCTAATACAATTCCAGGAATATATAAAGATTAAAATTAAACTGGATTACATGTCTGAGATACTTTAAATGGAACATGTTTTCAAGTTATGTATTGTTTGTTTTAAATTCTCTCTTGCATAACTCCTGATTTATTTCATGTCCATTGATGTATAAAGAGTTTAATTAGTTTGGAACACCTTGGGAAAACACTAAAATTAATCTGTTTGCATGGTTGAGTTGTTTGAAACAGTAAGTGATCATGAATGCTAAATTGCTCAGTTTGAATTCTTTTTACAAAATACATGTTTAAGTTGATGTCGGTAGTTGTATAAAGAATTTAATTGCCTCATGAACATACTGGAACCTAGTTCAGACACCTAGGAACCTTGACAATGGAGGACGGAAGTGATGGAAGTCGCCGGAGATGAAATCGGTGAAGGAAAACGAGTGAACTGGGCATACTAGGGAAGGAGGCGGCTCTCCACAAGGGTGGAGCTGGCTCCAAGGGATGTGGAGGCGGCTCCACACAGGGGGGGGGGGGCGGGGGCGGCTCCCCACAAGGGTGGAGCTGGCTCCAAGGGATGTGGAGGCTGCTCCACACAAGGGGGGGGGGGGGGGGCTCCCCATGTGGGGGAGGCGGCTCTACCCCTTTTTGATGGATTTTTGGCGCATTGTTGCTTCTGGGGTTGTTTTCTGACCTTTCCGGGGTAATCAGAGGTTGCGCATGGGAAGTTTGATGGTATCTAAGGTCATGTTAAAGTTCCAGAGAGCAGGACAAGGGATAATGAACCACCTAGGGTTTATGCCTTGAGCAGTATAAAATTCTTACATAATTTTGATACACTGTTTTGGAGGTGGAGGATTTAAATTGCTTAAACTTATCTGTTGCAATTTTTCTGTGGATGGATTTATAGTTTAATTCATATTCCAGTAGTAAAGTATGTTAGATTACAGAATTATTATATGCTTATAAAGGATAAATTGACGTATACATGTGTTAAATGTAATATCAATTCTTGGATAATTGTGTAGCGGTATAAAGTAAGCATGTTCAAATATATATTTTGATTATGCTTATCACGGATTAAAGGATGGTTATACTTATTCTCTGTGTTATAAATTATGAGAGAATCATGTAACAGTGGTATAAGACAAGCACGTTAGTTTACAAAATTCTATTATGCCTTGTATGGAATTAATTGATGTAAACATTTATTTATGTTCTGTCAATTGTTGGATGTATGGATTAGTTGATATTTACTTTCGTTATCTGTATTATCAACTGCTGGATGGATGGATTGTATGCACCGGTATGAGACGATAACATACTAGGGACGGATTAGTTTCAAATACTAAATCATACCTATACGGAATAAGGGAATAGATTATAAAATAAATCCTATTTATATTTAAGTCAGATCAGTTGAAACAAAGTTGAATGACTAACTGGATTAGTTGCTATGGATATGTAAGTCAGAACAACTGAATAAGTTGAACGGCTTACTGGATTTCTTATGGATGGGTAGGATATGACTTTAAATATATTTTTTATGGTACCGTAATATGAGCTTGAGTCTCAGAGTTGACGGTTAGGGAGCGTATATGCAGTAGGATGCGTAGCTGGTTATGTTGGTTGAGGTATACCCTGTTACGCTTAGGTAGTCATGCCCACTCAGGTGCGTTTTGCATGTTGCCTTTTACTCAGGTTGAGACCCTCATCATAGTGCAGTGAGAGTCCCATAATGTGGATATATATATATGTACGGATTATATAGCTATTGTTGAGTTAGTTAGAATGTATATGAGTATCGAGTCTCTGCTTGGATTGTAGTTGGATAGAACTTGTTCGTGGGCCTGACCCACTTCTACTTTTCAGGTCGCCAGTTCCAGTCTTAGACCTAATCGTGCTGAGCATAGACTATCACTCACTCTTCTGACAATGTAGGACTTCTCTCCGTGGTTTAGCTTTGGATGTTCTTTCAGTTATTTACATTCCAGTTTGGATTTTTATTAGGGGTCCACTAGAGATGGATTGCCGAGTTGTTTAAATTGTTGGAGGTTTTGGAAGGATTTGGATTTTAAGTATTTAATTTTAAAGGATTCTGTTTTAGATTTCATTCAGCTTTTATTTATTTCTTATTTCATTTTGTATTTCGTATTCGTTTAAATATTAATTATTTGATATTCCCTCAGGTCTGGGTTTGGGCCTGATCAACCCATATCTAGGATCCGAGAGGTATCACAGAACCGACGGCGAAGTTTGAAAAACGTGAGGGTATATATGACGTCACTCTTATGAAAAACTTGTTGGTACTTTAGTAATTTCAGATGCCAACGTGAGGGTATTTTAGTAATTTTAACATGTCCGTTAGTGTATTTAACGGTCCGTTACACATAAGGGAGGTCCGTGTAGGATATTTTCATACTTAGGGGAGGTCCTTATAATTATGACAAACCATATGGGAGGTTTGTATAAATTACCCAAACTTTAATTATTTGTACAAATCATTAATCACAAATAAACATGAATTCCAAGATTTTAGAACTTTATTGTCTTCACATTGCTATAATGCATAAATATAGTTAAATATAAATACCTCAACTGTGATAGCAAACCTTGTTGAGATCAAGTCCAACGTCGAGATTCTTTAATAAGGAACTAAACTGCAATTCCAAACAATAGGCAAAACGTGAAAACTGATTTAACTCTCTTGACCTTTTGCGCATATAAAACTTTATACGTGTTGTTTCATTAACGTACATAACTGATGGAAATATGCACTTTTATAAAGGCAGAGAGATGACCAGTTTTCTTTTTAGTAACTTTAATATCCATTTTCTATCAAAGTAAGGAATAAATAAGAAAACACTTCTCTAATAATTAATTACCAAAATAGTAATTTATAAGTTGACCAAATAATATAATATTAATTTGATATTATTTATTAATTTGATATTATTTACTTGATCGCGAGCCGCACAATTAATAAATAATCTTACAAATTTACGAAGAGTGATCAAATCTCGGGATGCTTAGACTGCTTGCGTACTTTGGGATGCCAAGAATTAGGTTGAACATAGTTCAATTATGGATGAATATTTGGAATAAAAATGGGTGATTTATAGCTTACCCCTTCCAAAAAAAATTACATTGAAGACCTAACAACCAAAAACGAATTTCAGCAACTCAACCAAAAATTCCATTGAAGACCCAACAGTGAGGTTGAAGCAACAACAATCAAGTTTAACACGGCGAGCACCATTTTCGGTGAACCAAGTTCAGTCCAGTGAAGCCGAACAGAGGCAACCAAGTTCAGTGAAGTCCACTCCAGTTCCGGTTGCAAAACCCAATGCAGTCCGATGCATTCCTTTTTGGCGAAACCTACTTCAGTTCGACAACGTGTCCACACTACCTAGGCCCACGGTTGCAAAAACTCAACAGTGAGCCCCTAAAACTGAAACAGAGCTTGTCGTTTGTTCACTGTAGGCGAATGCAAGTCGAGGAGTTCACAGATTTGTCACCGGAGAAGGCAAGCAGGCCAAGAAGCTTGCTGTCATTTCACAGGAGCTCGAAGTGCAGCTTGGGTTTTGTCGGAATCAATGGTCACTTGCTGAACTTTTATGGAACTCTCCGTTGATGAAGATTTTGGAGTTCTCTCTTTTCTATTCTTTCTATTTCCTTAGAGATATACCGAACTAAAAACGAGATTCTTCGTCCAAGGTTAATGAAGTTCGCCAAACTGGGTCTATTAATGGAGCTCAAACTGGTCTATTAGTGAAGCCCACCGAACTGGGTCTGTTAATGGAGCTCGATTTTGGAGTTCTCCTCTCTGTTAATGTTACTTCCCGTGCCACTTCCGCCTCCGGCGAAACTGGCTGCTTCAGATCGTTACCGAAGCAGCGACCTTAGTGACAACAACAAAGAGGATGGCCGTTGCGGAGGCTCTCATCGCCGCCGATCCAAGGATGGCCGTCAGTACGTTTGGAGCTCACCTGAATTGGGTCATTCAAGGCTTGCGGAAAATGTTCTCTGTACTCTTTACCAGACTGTACACTGAAATTCCCCTAGACCGGTGAAGCTAAAGGGCATTTTGGACCATGAAAAAGTCTAAATAATATTTTTGTATAGATTTGTAATTAGTTTAAAAAACTTAGCAGTCAACCATAATAGTTTAAAAAAGTTGACATTTTTTTAAATAAGCAGAGTTAACTAATGAAATTTTAAATTTCCTCTCTTGAGGGGTCTCATTGTTTACAGAGATTAAAAAATTATATATGGTTGTTCTTATGGTAAATGCCATCGGTATTATTGTACTTTACCCAAATACAAGGGCGAATTTAGCATTTCTAAATGAAGTGGGTAACTTTGGACGGACTACCACTAGTATTTTAATTTTAATTTTAATTTTTATTATTATTTTTTTGGCCCACTTTGCCCATCCCTAGATCCGTCTTTGCCCAAAATAAAAAAAACTTCTGGTTGGAGCAGTTGTCCCGGATGAACCCTATTTGGGTCCGCCACTTCTCATACATGACAACTGATACTGAAATTAGAGTCAAATATATATAGATCATTTTTTTTTTTTGTTTACAGGAAATAATCACCTTCTATTGTATGGGAGCATTATTTTACCAGTACTTTGAAGTGTGTAATAATTTTTTTGTGTTCTCGAGTGGAGGACTGACAACTTGTTCAACTTAATATAACTTGTTTACTTAAACATAATATCATGTGAAAACAAAAATATGCTGACGGACGTAGCCCAAATTTTCTGCTATTCAAACATCATAACAGAACAAGAAGACTGCAAACGCATCATAATATATCACATAGCATGGACATGCACTAAGTTCCTACAGCCAATTCAATTCCAAAAAACTGGAAAGTTGCTACAAATATATACATTTTATGGAAAGTGGCTACAAATATATCCATTATTGATTTCATTTAGGGTACAGTGAAAAAAAAAAAAAAAAATCCTACTATAAAAAATGTGCAAAAAAACACACCTGCTTTAGTATGTGCATGTAAATCTCTACCATTTTAAAATATGCCCAAATTGCACCCAATATCTGTCTAGTGTCAAATTTGACCACCTTTTTTAATTTATAAATCCCCCAAAATACTCCTAAAAACTGAAATCAGCATATTCTACATATGACATATATTTACTATCATTTATTTTTTGCAAGAGTGAAGGGTGGCAATTTTTTGCACATTACCTTATCATTTATTTACTATTCTTTGGCCTGATTTCAATTCCTTGAAGAATGAGACCACGTTTCCAGTTGCCACCCTTCACTTCTTGCAAACATATTTCTAGATCCCCATCTTCTCCACTCTTGTAAAGATAGTCACCCAACTCCATCTCCAACCACCCGTCTCCTCTCTCCTTCGGACATTGATCGCTGCTTTCACTTGGCATGGCGACTTGTGATCTATGCATCTTAGTAAGGGTGCGGTTGAAAATCCCCATTCGCCCTCTTCGTCTTGGTACAATATGAGTTCGACGCCCCTGCCCTCCATTAGGATCCAGATAAAAACTCCTTAATTCCTCTTCACTCCCACGAAGTCCTACCCAGCCCTCCACTGGTTGGGATTGAAATCCATATACTCTTTTCGTCCACTTGAACACAAGGTAAGCTGCATAGTTTGTGTCAGGCGATATCATCCGAGTACTTATCCTCCCACGAATTTCAAGCCAACACACATCGACAAGCTCTGCCACCTCAGCGAATCTGATTTTGTAAATTTGGTTTCATTGAATTAATTAACACCATACATGGAGAAAACAAACGAAGAAAAGAGCAGCACAGTGTGAGAGATAGACCTGGACTCGGGTAGAGAAATCCATCTCCAATACATAGGTGTATCACCATAAACAATTGTGAGGGATCTTGCAGCTAACATGAAACATTTCTTCCCACTCCATTTATCCAATGAAAAACTCTGCTTAATGCCACCAATGAGAAGTTAGAGAGAGATGAAAATGAAAACTGAAGCAAACATTGTGTATAAAGTTGATTACAATCACCCAAATGGACATTTAGATAGAGAAAAAAACTAGAAAGAACCAAAGCTCCAAAACAGAACTGACAACTCCGCTCTGTGAATCATATGATTCAACGCAAAAGGAACAAAACAAAGCTAACAAGAATTACATGTTATGCTGCAGTACTAATGAATAACATTAGTCTACTATCACCGGCAAAGATGGCTTTTGACAGGGTGTTTTGCAACACAACCAGATTCATAACCAACCCGAAATTTGTTGTGTTAGGCATATAAGCACATGTGATTCAAGGGCTCTACTTGAAGACTATAAATGATTATCCATAATTAACTAGTGATACAACATATTGGGAGATTGCAGCTACTAACTGATGAAATAGATATTTGGTATTAGTATTACACAAACAAGTAGAGACAAGCAAAGGGAACAGAAGCAGATAAGTAGTTTATTTTCCCTCAAATGCTGGTAAGCAAGGGCCTGAGACAGAATATGCCAATGCCCAGTATCCACCTTCACTCGCAACAATATTATTAGAAATACTTGTTGGTTCCATTTTGAACCAAAATTCATCACACTTGCAAATAATTTGGGGAGTGTTCGGATTCTTGCGAACTTATAGTTTGACAATTAAGACTTCCGGTGTCTACAGTGATCTGATGTATTGTCTCCACATTTGAAGATGCTCATGTTTAGCCTTCCAAGGAAATTTCTATTCACAGTATATGGATCTTGTACAATATAATATAAGTCTAATATTATGTAGCATTCTATTGCTTGATATGATGGTAAAAGCTCGACTGACAACTGACAAGTGTGAGAATGCAGGTTCTTGGTCTGCATGTGAGGGTTCAGTTTCTGAATCTAGAACAACCGGTGTGTCTAAGAGTTGGGGCTTTTTCTAATTTGCCTATGCCGATACCCCATGTCACCTGGTTACAACCTTTAATTTATGATTATGAACATATAATTTCTATGCAAATTCTTTAGTCAACTTCTGTGCACACTTTATGATTATGAAGAGATTCCACTGTTTGGTATGATGGTATAGTCTTGCAAGGGCTGATCCAAAAGAGGGCTCAAGCCCCCAATATATATATATATATATTTACTATAGGTAATTTTAGCCCAGTTAAAAATAAAAAATAAAAAAAAAATAGCCCACCCCATAATATATTAGCCCCCGGAATATATTTCTGGGTCCGCCAACGCTTGGGCTGACATGTTTGAGAAATCTCTCCCAACTGTCAAAAGTTAAGAGGGTGTAAAATTTTCCTCTGCTGCCTTCTATGAACAGTGTATGATTATAATAATTTGTATGCACAATTGATGATAAAGGAACTACAATAAATTGATTCCCCTACATATATTCATAATTCACAACAGCAACTAGTTATCAATTCAAACTTATTTTCTCCCCAAAAAAAAAAAAAAAAATACCCTTCCTGCAAATCCTCAAATCTTTGTCTGAACCATAATTGCATTTTATATTTTAAAATTTTGAAGGAGAACTAGTCCTGATCACAATCATTGATCTCTAATCCCATTAAAATATTGAATATATTAAACCATAAACCCATTAAAAACTTGACCATATTTTCCACATAAACAGAAAATTACACATCATTCATGACTAATCACAATCATATATATATATATTTTCCTTACTATACTTCTTTGGGATTGTGTCCAAAGAGATATTTTATTCAATATATATATATATATATATATATATATATATATATCTCCGTCGAATATTCCCTCTTTTTGACAGGACTAAAAAAAATTATATATATTTACAAAAAATAGTGAATAAATGCTCTCTTTTGATAGGATATATATATATATATATATATATATATATATATTGAATAAAATATCTCTTTGGACACAATCCCAAAGAAGTATGGTAAGGAAAATATATATATATATATATATATATTTTTTTTTTCTGGACAAAATAAAAGAGACCAAAAACAGTAAAGATGATAGAGACCAATCATATATATTGGAATGCAGTGGTGTAATTTGAAAAAAGAAATATAATCATTCACTTTTGGAGTTAGGATTAGAAATGTCACTTCATTTTAAATGCGAGTGCAAAAATAAATTAAAATCTTGAACATATATCCCTAAATTACACACCATTCATTTCTACTCACAATCAAACAATACAGTGTGAAACTTGAAATTTTACCTTCGTCCCACCATCGACGGTGAGGGGATGATCGGAGAGGCTGAGATAAAGCTCTTTCTTAGATGTGAAAACCGGCGGAGAAGAATCGGAAGCTCGGGCAATGATGTCCTGATAATCTGACGGCAGAAATCTCTCCCAAACTGTGTCAGATTCCGCAGCCGACCGGAAAGTGGACGCCAGCGACGAAAGCCGGCAAGTCTCTGGAGCACTCGCCAGAGACAACATGTTCGCTATGCAATTCTCCGGCAATGCGTTGAAATCTGTCGCCGGACATGGATTTCTGCTGCTCTCTGCTTCCATCTCTCTCTAGATCTATCTTCTCTCTCTAGATCTCTCTTCTCATATATGCATACACCAGTACAGACTACAGAGCGAACACAACACAATATAATACACACATATGTAGATACGTCGTAATGCATATAAAGTCATACCGTACGGAACTTTTTCTCAATTCATAATGTCTAAGAGAATTGACATTGCTATTTTTTTTTTGTATTTAATATTTATATTTTATTAATTAAGAAAAATATAATAAAAAAGTACTCATAAGTTATTAGCTCAATAATTTAACCTCTCATTTCTTAATTAAAATGTAAGAGCCGTAAGTCGTAATAAATATTTTGTATCAGTAAAATGTGTGTGAATGTTTATCTAACTCATATAAATATAAAAAAAAATAAAAATTTGATAAAAAAGTTTTCTTTTGTGTGCGTGGTGCTTCTGTTATGATTTTTATACGTTATCTAATTTATTTATAATTCAAGTTAAAGAAGAATATGATAAATAAAAAAAAAAAATTATGTTATTATTATTTTTTGGTTGTTGTTGTTGGTGGTGATGAGTATGATTGGTGTCGGTGTGACAACCACAACTTACATGACTCTACCTAACTTTACCTAATTTGTAATGATATGCAAGTTAAGACGACTTGTATCAATTATAATATAAAGTCGTTTGCATTTATAATACAAGTCTAGTGTTGTAATCAATTATAAAATCAAACGGTTTGGACATTATACAAGAATATGACTTTTTAATTTTTTTTTTTTCCATGTGAATGGGAACTTTAGGAGGAAGACTTGACAACCTTGTGATGGTATGCGACGTGGATAACACGGCCAATAGACTTTGACAAAATTAATTATTTTTATATATTGCTAATATTTCTTAGAGCATTTTACATACTTATTCAAAATTTTGACTCTCCACATTTGAATAATCGAAAGCCTTATTGAGTTGACATAACTCTTTATTTACATGAGTCAGTTGTTATAAATAGACTCGGATTGAACCTGACTTTATGTGATTCAAATTTCACAAGTCTTTTTACTCGATTCGATAAGACAACGAATTTTTTATAAGTGAATTCATATTCGATTTATTAATAAATAGATATCCGATCCGATAATCTGAACTGATCCAATAAATGTGTAGTTTTTTAATTAAAAAAAAAAAAGAAAAAAAGAAAAAAATTAATGCAAAAGAGAATAAAAATATTGATTAGGAAAAAAAAATGATAGAAAACAAAAAATAAATAAAATATGAAAAGAAAAGAAAAGGAAAAGAAAAAGATAATTCACTCTTTATTAATGAATAAATATTATGACAATATTAGTATATATATTAAGAAATTTATTAGCATGTGGGGCAGAACACCATACTATTGTACATATAACATTATAATAATATATATAATATATATATTTATTCGGATCGAATCAGTATAATTCATATTCTTATCAAAAAAAAAATTGTTAGGTTATATATATATATATATAGTAGGCCATCTATGGAGAAAAACAAATAAAGCATGGGCCACAAACAAAAAAAAAAATGATACTAGTATTTAAAGAGATTATTTGACAAAGTCTTAGGTGAGGATTTGTGTGAGGCTCATGATGTAAACGAGCCCTCCACTCCTGTCCTGTCATGTGGTGCCTCTTCAACTTTGCAATAATTGCGTAAAAACAACCTTCCATTGTGTAAGTCAGAATGCGCGGGCTTGGAGCCCTAAAAGTGTCATGTTTGAAGGACCACCACCACCACTCGCTTCCTTCCGAAGACCAAAAAAATATTAAGGTTTTGCTACTCCAAAGTCGTTGCCTCAAGTAGAAAATATGTAACCATTTTGTTCACGAACGACATTAACATTAGGAGTTTGAAAAAGTTTTGTCACACGCTTCCTTCCAAAAGATAAATGTTTTTACTACTTCAAAGTCCAACCATAAGTGAAAAAAATAGAATCGATCCATTCGCAAACAACTTGAGCTCAATGAAATTAATATTTGACTCAAACTTGTTTGATTAATAAAGGGACTCAAATTTGAATTTATTTTGTGAACGTGCTAATGGTAAGTTTCCATGACCACACTTATAAATCTGACTCTTTCATTATAATTTGTAATTAAATTTTATCCATTGGACCTCAAGTTTGAGCTTGATAATGTACTCGAGATCAAACTCAAAATAGACTAAACAACAAGATAGAGAGGAGTCGAGCTTGACTTTGAACACACAAAATTAGATTATGTTGATCACTTGATAAAAATTTCAATGGGGGCAATTTGTGCCTATTACCTGTACCAATTGCCTACTATATCTTGTAAATGTTGGAAATATATTTCCTATTACCTATACCAATTGCCTACTATATCTTGTATATGTTGGAAATATATATTTCAACTTGTAACTGCAAATACCAATTGCCTGCTATATTTTGTATATGTTAGATATATATTTCCTATAACCTATACCAATTGCCTATTATATCTTGTGAAATATATTTTCAAACTTGTAGGTGCAAAAATTAGCAATGGTCAGTGCAATTCATGCAAAACACTCCATAAAAAAATTAAAAAAATAAAAAAAAACGACAAGAGTTAAAAATTTAACCAGAGAGACTCAGAACAATGATTAGGAAAAAAAAATGATAGAAAATAAAAAATAAATAAAATATGAAAGGAAAAGAAAAAGAAAAAAGAAGAAGAAGTTCATTTACTCTTTATTGACGAATAAATATTTTGACAATATTAGTACGTATATTAGGAGATTTATTAGTATGTGGGGGAGAACACCACACTATTGTACATATAACATTACGATAATATATATAATATATATATATATATATATATATATATATATATATTTATTCGTATCGAATCAGCATAATTCATATTCAATTTGTTAGGTTAATGAGTTATCGATCGTAATCGATTTGTCGAAGTTTTTATTTAATCTATATCCAACTAATTGGATCGAATTCGAATCAAAACCCGATCCATTAACAAGTCTAGTTACAAGCAAGATTTTATCTTACAATGAATCCGGATGGAGAAGTGAATGCCTATAGTAAGATTTTATCTTACTCTGGTTAGTTACTTTTATTTTTATTTTATATTTTCATAAATTTTTTTGAAACATATTTTTTACAATTGTTTGTTTATATATCTTATGTAATATATATATATATATATATATATATATAGTAGGCCATCTATGGAGAAAAACAACCAAAAAGAGTATTATTAGCATGGGCCACAAACAAAAAAAACATTATACTAGTATTTCAAGAGATTTTTTGGCAAAGTCTTAGGTGAGGATTTGTGTTAGGCCGATGATGTTAACGAGCCCTCCACTCCTGTCATGTCATGTGGAGTCCGTACAATAATTGCCTAAAAACGACCTTCCAATGCGTGAGTCAGAACGCGCGGGCTTGGGGCCTAAGTATCACGTTTGAAGGACCACCACCACTCGCTTCCTTCCAAAGACAAAAAAATAAAAAATAAAAAATAAAAAAATAATAATAATTAAGGTTTTGCTACTCCAAAGTCGTTGCGCCAAGTAGAAAATACGTAACCATTTTGTTCACATTAACGTTAGCAGTTTGCAAAAGAAAAGCCCTCCTCGTACAGCTGAGTGAGTCCATCTTTGTTTGGATAAGATGGAGAAAAACAAACAAAAGAGTATTATTAGCATGGGCCACAAACAAAAAAAATGATACTAGTATTTAAAGAGATTGTTTGACAAAGTCTTAGGTGAGGATTTGTGTGAGGCCCATGATGTAAACGAGCCCTCCACTTCTGTCATGTCATGTGGAGTCCATACTCGCGTCTTCTAGTTTGCAATAATTGCGTAAAAACAACCTTCTAAGTCAGAATGCGCGGGCTTGGAGCCCTGTCACGTTTGAAGGACCACCACCACTCGCTTCCTTCCAAAGGCCAAAAAAAACATTAAAGTTTTGCTACTCCAAGGTCGTTGCCTCAAGTAAAAAATGTGTAACCATTTTGTTCACGAACGAGATTATCGTTAGGAATTTGAAAAAGTTTTATCACACGCTTCCTTCCAAAAGATAAAAGTTTTTACTACTCCAAAGTCCAACCATAAGTGAAAAAATAGAATCGAGCCGTTCGCGAACAACTTGAGCTCAATGAAATTAATGTTTGGCTCAAACTTGTTTAATTAATAAAAGGATTCAAATTTGAATTCATTTTGTGAACGTGCTAATGGTAAGTGTTCATGAACATGCTTGTAAATCTAACTCTTTCATTATAATTTATAATTAAATTTTATCCATTGGACCTCAAGTTTGAGCTTGATAATGTACTCAAGATCAAACTCAAAATAGACTAAACAACAAGATGGAGAGGAGTCGAGCTTGACTTTGAACACACAAAATTAGACTATGTTGATCACTTGCTAAAAAATTCAATGGGGGCAATATGTGCCTATTACCTGTATCAATTGCCTACTGTATCTTGTATACGTTGGAAATATATATTTCAACTTGTAGGTGCAAATACCAATTGCCTGCTATATCTTGTATATGTTAGATATATATTTCAGAACAATGATTAGGAAAAAAATTGATAGAAAACAAAAAATAAATAAAATATGAAAGGAAAAGGAAAAAAAAATCATTTACTCTTTATTAATGAATAAATATTATGACAATATTAGTATGTATATTAGGAGATTTAATACTATGGGGGGCGGGGGGCAGGAGGGAGAACACCGCACTATTATACATATAATATTATGATAATATATATATATAGTCGGATTGAATCAACATAATTCATATTCAATTTGTTAAGTTAATAGGTTATCGAATTCGAATCATAATCGAGTTATAAAATTTTTCTTTAATCTATATCCAATTAATCGGATCGGATTCGAATCAGAACCTGATCCATTGACAGGCCTAATTACAAGGAAGATTTTGCCTTACAATGAATCCGAATGGAGAAGTGAATGCATTTATATGGGTTGGGTACACTAGACCAGTCACCATGGCGGTATGGTACTCTGGGTTAGTTATTTATTTTTATTTTTATTTTCATAAAAATTTTTGAAACATATTTTCTAGATTTGTTTGTTTATATATCTTATGTA